AAAAAATGTTCTAAAATCGAGCTTCGCAGTTCACTGCCGCGAACAGACTAATTACGTCAGACGTGAGGGTGCTGTAAGACTAAGGCACAAGAGCCATTAAGCCGAGAGGTAAGAAATGAACAGTGGTGTCACGAATAGCGTGTACTCCCCGGGAAGCTTGAATTGAGGGCTCGAGTACCGTCACAGGTCAAGGCTTGTCCATATTGATGCCCCTATTCTTTTCCAGATTCCCTATACCCCAACCTTTCCCTAGTACAGGCCCCTCGCCACGTCAAATGGGCCAGTTTCGTGCCCTGCACGAGCCGCATCAGAATGTTGGACGTCATTTTCACGCTGATGGGCTGCCACATCGAACCTCTTAGGTTGTGATACGAATGCCACGCACGTGATGTCACTTGCAACGCCTCTTTCGTCACGATCGCTTCAACATGGGAATAACGTCCACATCCGCCGCATCGTGAACGCGCGCGCAATCTTAGCGTATTGCAGCCGCGGAATAGCATCCCTAACGTTTAAAGCATTACTTCCCCGTTATCCCTTAAGCCGAATTTTAGTACTTAGTTTTGTTCTACTTTCAAGATATGTGACAAAAAGCCCCCAGCAGAATTGAAGAAGCTGTCCAGTTGCCCGTAAGAGTTACATGCAGAAGGTATATTGTGATGTCCCGGAATGGGGGTCATGAAGAAAGCCTCTGAAGGGTGAGTACTGCCATTCTTGCTGGAGTTCCGTTCGGAGTCAGAAGAGTAGGTCAGAAGTTGTGAGGGCGGCGATTGAAGAGGTCAGTCATCATCGTTAGGTCAAAGATGTTTTATACGTGGTTCTATGGTTTGAAACTGGGATAGTTGGGCTAAACTTTATGGCTGACTTTTATGTCCTCTTCAGAATTTCATAAGCTTTTATGTTCATAATGTAGATGAGTGCTGAACTCTTCTCTCTTACATATGGCGCACTCGTTACGGAAATGCTTCAAGACTACGAAGATCCGAAGCTTGTGAACCTGCGACTGGATAAGGTAAGGCTGATATGACAGTATCCAACCGCTCGTACATATGAGTTCCACAGACTTCTGATTCAGATTGGTTTCAACATGGGAACGAGGTTAGCTGACGACTTTCTCGCTAAGAATACGCATGTTCCAAAGTGTACCGATTGTCGACAAATTGCAGAAGTTCTATCAAAAAATGCTATACCCATGTACTTAGGTAAGGAGTGTAGGCGAAAGTTTTCTGTAGAGGTTGGGTTTCTAATGAAAATGAAATTCAGGTGTCCCGGCTACAGTATCGAATTGGGCCGGCGGTGATCGAGAATTTTCTTTGATCATCGAGAATAATCCATTAACAGAGCTTGTTGAAGTGCCAGCCACATTGTCTACTCTCAACTATTCTCAGGTCATAGCTGGAGCGATTCGAGGTGGACTCGAAGCCCTACACTTCAAGGTAGGCTTTTTGAACCTTTTTCTTAGCCAGTCATAAAAGATTTAGGATGGCAATCAAATTGTTATGTTGGTTCTATAGACAGGGCTTTGCCCCCCCCCTACAAATGAATTACGAGTTAGTCGTTCCTGGAGAGAATTTTCTATCTGACCACAGCCCCCATTCCAAACGACAACATTCTGGACAAGTTTGATAAAGTGTGAAGAGGGAATCAAACCGGAGAGGGAATTCAGGTCGCTTTCATAGTTTGTGACAATGTAATGTGTAGAATGCAAGAAGTACCAAGAATACCCCACTGGAAAAGAAAATTATAGGGTTATCAATCATAGAAGAACTACCGGGATGAGGAGATCGAAGAAAGGTGGTAATCGGGAGAAACTGCGCACGCAAAGTATTGGGTTGGCACATAAGTACTTTCGTTTTTTTTCAACCGGAAATTTCGTTCTAAAGATGAAATGTTTTGTTAGCAAGCTTGATATCATCTGATAGGAAACTTCACGTAGTTTTAGAATATCAAACGGCTTTGATTGAGGGAATAATTTTTGTGGATTTTTTAGTCGTTGAAGTTGAAAACGAAAACGGCGAAAATTAGCACCTTCGACAACTGCCTCTATTTACGTATAGTCGAAGTGCTAAAATCGCTTAAGCTGCTCCATACATTTGGAAAAGGTCGAGCTAGAAGTTCCAGCAAGGGAATCTCACTAGGACGCTTTGGAACGAATTTCAAGAATTTTGAAGTTACCAACCTTCACCTCGCCGATATTGGGCAGCTCACGTCTGTTCCACCTGAAATTTTATGCTAATATTTGAATGTTTTGCTGATATGTTTTGCATGTTCTGATAGCAAATTTCGTGCTCTATAACACTGCTATAAAAATCTGTTCTCCAGAGGTGTTTGCTTTCTGTTAAGTTCAGGTTATCATTACGGAACGCGAAGTCGTTGAGAACTAGCGTTCCCGTTCTCCACGAATTTTATGCTAACATTTGAATGTTTCGCTAATGTGTTCTATATGTTCTGATAGCCAATTTCGTGCTCTATAACACTGCGTTGCAGTTATTTTGAAATCCGTTTGATGCCTTGTTTTCAGGTGGATAATATGGAATGTCAGGTCGATAAGCATCAGCACTTCAGACATCTCCTCCTTTTCGCATTCAACAGAGGTATCAGAGCTGCTGATGCTGCTCGGGAAATTCGCGAAGTGTACGGAGAAGATGCCCTCTCTCTCAAAACAGCCCAAAATTGGTTCAGACGCTTCAAGAATGGTACTGATACCTCTGTTGAATGCGAAAAGGAGGAGATGTCTGAAGTGCTGATGCTTATCGACCTGACATTCCATATTATCCACCTGAAAAACAAGGCATCAAACGGATTTTCAAAATAACTGCAACGCAGTGTTATAGAGCACGAAATTGGCTATCAGAACATATAGAACACATTAGCGAAACATTCAAATGTTAGCATAAAATTCGTGGAGAACGGGAACGCTAGTTCTCAACGACTTCGCGTTCCGTAATGATAACCTGAACTTAACAGAAAGCAAACACCTCTGGAGAACAGATTTCTATAGCAGTGTTATAGAGCACAAAATTTGCTATCAGAACATGCAAAACATATCAGCGAAACATTCAAATATTAGCATAAAATTTCAGGTGGAACAGACGTGAGCTGCCTCAAATAGTCGGCGAGTGAAGGTTGGTAACTTCAAAATTCTTGAAATTCGTTCCAAAGCGTCCTAGTGAGATTCCCTTGCTGGAACTTCTAGCTCGACCTTTTCCAAATGTATGGAGCAGCTTAAGCGATTTTAGCACTTCGACTATACGTAAATAGAGGCAGTTGTCGAAGGTGCTAATTTTCGCCGTTTTCGTTTTCAACTTCAACGACTAAAAAATCCACAAAAATTATTCCCTCAACCGAAGCCGTTTTGATATTCTAAAACTACGTGAAGTTTCCTATCAGATGATATCAAGCTTGCTAACAAAACATTTCATCTTTAGAACGAACAATATTCGGTGAGAAAAAAAACGAAAAGTACTTTATGTGCCAACCCAAAGTAGAATGGGAAAGTCGGAGCATAGGCGTCGTTCGACTGCCATTTCCTTCGCATTTTCTCGCCTCGCACCTGCTCCGGTTCTCCTAAGTCAGCAGATCGATAAGTACAGTTTCCTTTAGCGCGCATTCTGCTAGTTTCCCCCCATTCTCCGCTTATCGAGTGTCGCAGAGTATGAACGCGGCCTAACGCCCTTTCCCCTCTCCCCCTTTCGCCTTCTCCTTTCCATTTATTATTGGCTTCAAATACTGGATAAAATTAATTGCTGGGACTCTGAGTCAGGGCACATCGTCGCTGGGGAGATCCCTATAGGGGGAGGGGGTCGTGATTGGGGCTGGGAAAAACTTATTCGTAGTTGGTTTTTGCGCTTCAATATCGGACGTTATAAAGGGGAGTTGGGAGGGGAGCAGGTTATTTACCACCCCCCACCTAAAAAACAGGGGAAGGGTCGTGCCACAACTCGACATGAATGCCCCAACCAATGAAAGCCAATGATGAGCCCTGCTCTGAGTGCAGGTCGGTAAATCGGCGTTGCGGCGACACAGCCTTTCAGGAGTCACGTGCGTGGCACTCGCACCAGGACCCAACTTATTTGGTGCACAAGCGTTAGTCTCTACGCGATACTATCCAGTTTGCGGGCGTCGCAGGACATGGACTTCCTGACCCACTTCGCAGTTTTTCATAAAAATGGCTCTTTGTGTTTTCTGACAACGGAGGTTGAGGCGAATCTCCAGCACCAGTTCTTTAATTAAATAGTCAAAAAGCATTCACAATTGAAAAATGATAAGATCCACAGGTGGTGTGCTATTTTTTTATTTTTAGGTGTATGCCACCGCTATCGAAAATCCAACAAATACTGAAATCAAAATCAAGTTTGATCAGATTCTGAGGGATAATTTACCAGCCGGAGAAGAAGATTAAAGTATAGAATATGTGCATAATTTCTAGTATTGATTACATTCCTCACTTCTATGTGTATTGCATTTTTATGTTCAATGATGAGTATATAATAAAATATTTATACTTTTTTGTAATGTATCAGATCAACTGCAATATCTACAGATTTCTTCTTGTGAAATTTGTACGTACTTTCAAGGTTCCACCGTAATTGCGCGACACAGCGAGCCTGAAAATGTTGGAATCACATCAGTTATGATTCCTGAGACTCTAGGCTCTGAAATTGATCCCTTACATCTGCATCATTCCATTTGTTAGCTGTCTTGAGAATGTAATCTCGTGTAGAGGATTTATGTAATGAAAATAAACTACCACCAGGAGGTAACATCATAAGACCGGCTCGAACGAATCGCATATCGATTCCTGCAATGAGTTCGCTTTTTTGAAACATACGAAAATCGGAAGTCGGAATACCAACTGCGTTTATTGAAGAGGTGGGCGTGAGGTTCTGGACCAAGTACGTCTTCTTGCAATAAGTTATGGATGAGCGAGGATGGATTTAGGAAATTCAAAGGAACAGAGTAACAAGAACAATGAAGGAAATAGATACCAGAAGTGACTGAACTCTAAAGGAAATTTGAAGAGTCGGAAAACTACCGTAAACAAACAAGTAAGCATAGGTTATTTATGGTTTCTTTCTTGAGTGTGGTCATACGTTTGGTCAGTACTCTTAGCGTTCTAAAGTGTTGCTTGGATGGGGGGGGAGGAGGGGGGGGGAGACACAGAGCAAGCGTTTCGGGATTCTGTTCATCTTCACGCCTTTTAAAGGTTGAAGATAAACAGGGGATGGTAGTGGGGATCCAAACTACTCGCTGAGAACGCAGAAACAAGCTATGGTTTCGACGCTGTTTGCCTCCCGGCTGTCTCCTTACATTGCTGTCTCTGTAATTCCTAAGAGGGTTACATTTTGCATTCCGAACGTCTTTCGCGCACTTCATGTTGGAACGGTGCGAACCGATTGCTAGGTTTCCGCTCAAGCACGGGTTCTCTAATGCAGAATAAGTTGGCAGTAATTGAGTTTTTAGCACTCTACAGTGACTCCTAAGGCTAGTTGGAGTCCCAGTAAACTTTTACCCTCCCAACCACATTCGGAACTAATCAGTCGCTCTTGAAGGAAAACCTGGTTATGGAGAACGGTTATGCTGCACATGTGGGTGTTTAATGGTAGCAGGGCACGGCCACTGATATTGCGTCACAACGGGGGGGGAGAGGAGCGAGGGAGGGTCGTATTTGACCGCGAGTGGAGGGGGGGGTCGTAGTTGCGTCAGAGAAAGAATTTTTTTTGGGTAGGTTGATTCCTTGCTGTAAATGCTCGGGACAATGCTATCACTGAAACTTCCTGAAGATCGGGTAGGCTACATGGTCACGCGTTCAACTAACCTGAGAAGTGTATGCTTCTGGTGAGGGTATTTCATGTTAACCAACTTGTTGTGTGTCTCTGTCCAAACAAACAAGATGACAGTTGTCCCGATGCGAATATTCCCAGGCGATAACCAGCACTTTCCGTTGCCTTGTTTCAATATGCAAGCGCCTGGCCAGGGATACAGGAGTATGACAAGGATCGTTACGTAAAACACGAAGGGCTAGCCGTGTATTGCCAGCGCATTGCCGACTAACCGTAATCCCACGACGTTTTTCAATCCGCCTCATGCGCGACATGTGAATGATACTCTACAGTGGCAGTAGAGTATCAGCAGAGTTTTTGACATTATTTCGTTTTACTTCAAATTATCAATCGTTTCGTTTTTTTTCAAGAGACACTTTTGTGCTTCCTCTGCCTTTGTACTACTGTCGGCACGGCCCTCCCCGTTCAGCTGCAAAAAACGCAATCCTTGGCCCTATTTACCCTTTTTTAGTTTTCCAAGTTGAGGTCGCATTTTCGTCGTCTGAAACCTGTTCGCAGAGGTACGTCGATTTGTCCCTGAAACACGACAGTCCACATCGGTTTGGTTCCTGAGACAGCAGGGCACGCCATCTTTGTGATCATCACAACAGGGGGGTCGTATTTGCCCGCGATGGAGGGGGGGGTCGTAA